AAATACAATTCCCCCTGAATATATGCATATCTACACCATCTTCCCCCTTTTGACATTATCAAAAAGAGATGGGCAAAAAGATATATGCTCATGCAAATAGATATCAAACAAACAAATAATATCACATTGTCCAACTAAAATATAAATCAACATTAGTTGGAATTAATAAAGTGAATCAACTTCCCCCTTAATTGATGCTTCACCCAATTATGTGCTTGGCGCATCTACTTCAACTCAAGTCGAAGTGTTCAAGCACACCTTCCTTAATGAATCTACGAAGCAAATCTTGGTACCCAATGCCTTTTGGGTCCAGGGGTGTTATGGCAATAATAAAAATCATATGAACGATGCATCACATTATCTTGACTTAGAAGCAAGTGCCTATACTTAGTGTAACAAACTGGTGTGATGTGTCCTACTTTATTACAATAATGACACCTAACACTAGGGTTGTTCATGTTTCTAGGACGTGTGATGTGCTTTCTAGGTTGTCTATCAAACTTAGAATTCCTAGAATGACTTAGTTTATTTCTAGGTGATCTATAGTATTTAATCCTAGAGGTAGATTTTAGTCTAAATTCATTTTCAACTTTCTTCATAGCTAATTTCAAATCGTCTACTTCTTTCTTAAGCGCTTCTATCTCAAGACTAGAAGACTTACATGAAGAACAAGGTGAATCATTTAATTTCAAATTAGTCTCCTCAAAAGTCTTATTTTCAATTTTCAGGGAATCAATTTCTTTTTGCAAAGTATTATTTTTCTTTTGCAAAAGGGTGATTTTATATTCTAAATCTTTGGCAATAGATGAGACTTTCTTAAATTCTTTAAATAAATCACCAAATGCTTCTTGTAGTTCTTCAAAACTAAAAGGATCGTTAGAAGAACTTACCTCTTCGGATTCACTTTGAGCCATAAGACAAATGGCTACTTCATCATCGGATGAGGAAGAGGAGCTAGAGTTGGATTGCTTTCGGCATTTGGACTTCTTGAATTTTCGTTTAGGGCAATGACCCTTGATATGTCCACGCTCTCCACATCCATAGCAAGTAGGCTTTGTACTCTCATTCAATTGCTCAAGCTCATTTTGCAAGAAGTGATTAAATAACTCGAGAATGTCACTTTCTCCAGAGCCGCTTGTCTCGACATATTTTGACGATGAAGCTTTGAGTGCAACTCCTTTGAATGATAGCACATTGTCCAACAAGTCTCCCCATAGGATTGAGGACCTTGTTATACCAGGAGTTGAAGAAACTATCAAAATGGGCAAGTAGCTGGCTGCAGTGTTCTTTCTTGAGTTTTCCTTTGCATATGGTGGCACCAAGATATGTAAAAGGTGTGCTCCCTTGTTTCATCCCAAGAGCTCTCTCAATTGCCATGATAAATGGTAATCGAGCATGCTTCCCACAGTAGAATTTACTCTTGTTGAAGTTTATCTCCTACCCGAATTCCAAAAGGTATGTTTGTAGAATACCTTTTAGGCTTAAAAAATTTCTGAAGTGACCATTGTAAAAAAGAATGAGGTCGTCTGCATAAGCTGAAGGCACCTTACCTTCATTAAAAGGGCAAAGAAAAGAAATACTTATGTAGTGGTTAATAGTTCTTGTGAATCCTTCCATAGCTAGGATGTATAGAATGGGGGAGAGGGGTTCTCCTTGCTTGATACCCCTCTCCATGGGGAAGAACCCTACAGGATGCCCATTAATGAGAATGGAAAAGGAGGTGGCTTTCAAGTTTGCCAAAAGGAGGTTAACCACATGGGGGGATATAAGTTTGTGTAACATACCCTTTAGCCTATTTGCAAGATGTTTACTGTGAATTTTACTCACAAAGGTGAAGAGGGAAATAGGGCGGAAGTCATTGAAGGACTTGGGTGTGTTGGATTTGGGGATCAGTGTAATGAGTGTGGCATCATAAGCTTTAGGGGTAGGGATGCCTAGCGAAAATTCTTGTGCAACCTTTAGAATGTCAGACCCTAAAATTCCCCAAGTTTTATTGAAGATTTCCCCCGTGTATCCATCTGGTCCACTAGTGCTATGCGGATCAAGGTCCCAAATGGAATTCCTGACTTCCTCAATAATTGGGAGGCAAGAGAGGGCATGGTTATCTTCCTCTGTGATAACTGAGAGAATGAATTGCAGGATATTTTGTAACCCTTCAATGGAGGACTTCGAGAATGTTTCAGTGAAGTGTTGAATTGCCTCACGCTGGATGTCTTGCTGGAGGGAGAGGACTCTACCATCTTTTGCTTTGATATGTTTGATAGTAAGCTTGGAGTTTCTACCTTTAACATATGAGTGGAAAAATTTGGAGTTAGAGTCTCCTTTATCCATCCAATGGATGTTTGCCTTCTCTCTCCAGTATTCCACCTCTTTGTTAGTGGCCAAGAGGAGTTTAGCTTTGGATTTAGACCAGACCTCTAGTGTGCATTCAGTAGGGTTTTCATCAAAAGCTAGTTCTGCAGTAATTGCTGCTTCTTCTGCCAGCCTTACCTCCTGAAGATGTTTCCAAAGGTATTGGTGTTGCATTCTCTCAACATTGTTTTAAGTCCTTTGAGTTTGTTGCTAAGGCCCCTCATTCCACCAGCATATATACATAAATATTTAAAGTAAAATGATATTTGACAAACATAATTATCATATAATTAAAATATCCAAATATATATATTTTATAAATATTGTGTCATACGCAATATGTATAAATATTTATTAAATGTTTTAGTTTACTCCATAACAATATTCTAAACCATCAAATGTTCTGTGTGTGTGACCCTCTTCTAGGTTACCCATAACGTTGGTCATAGTATTAAAACATAATCCTTGTATTGGGCCTAGATCCTTATTTCATTTAACTATAGTTGTATTTTGCATCTTGTCCTATAGTCAAACTATTTCAGATAGGAACTAATTTCCAATTGTAACATTTTACAACTCTAGTTTAGATGATTTTGATTTTATTTATTAACCTAACCATGTGCCTCTAGGTTATTCATTCTTTTTCCTTAACTTAGTTAAGTCCAACCCGGGGCATACTCAGTATCCATTGTTACGGATTTCGCGCCATACCAGTGTCAACCAGGCATCCCGCTTAGGCGTGTTCGTTGACTAGTCGAAACTAGTAATGACGAGTAAGTAGGCGTCAGAAGGCACAAACTTAATATCATGAGGGATTTTGGGGTGGTCTCACCTATTGTATGTGTCGCGCACATACTCTAGAGATCATCATACAAGCATACATTCAATCATACAAACATGTATAATAAAAACATGTCATGATTGCGGCTTCCTAAAGAAACTAAAGATAAAGCCTTCTCTTGAGATCTCTATCTCTAGCTCCATCTTCTTTCTTTTGGAATGCTTCAGCCTTGAAGTTAAGCTCACCATTGTCTTCTTCTTCTTTCTTGCTTCCTCATGAACTTCTTTATTTAATCGAGAGAAAAGAATCCCTGCTATATAAGCAAGGGGTATGAGGTTGAAGAAGAGATTTACAACCAGAATTTGGAGATGATGCACGAAATGCAGGTCTATTATAAAAACCATATATTTTAAGCGACAAACATGGAACATGCAAACATACATACATCACATGCATAAAATTCATACACCGGGCAAGCCGCGCTCCCCCAAACCTAGTTTATACTAATAAAATCAACTACAAGCCAAATATTATCAAATAATTCATTAAAATTTATTTTAAGACTTTAGAATACTCAAAATATTTAATTCTTAAATTTTATAAATTTTAAAATATTATTATCGTAAATATATGTATTTATTTGGATATTGGGATTTTAATTCAAAATAAATACTTATACCTTTTAAAAATTAATAAATTAATTCCATAATATATATTTTAATTCTATAAGTTCCAAAATCAAATATTTAGAATTTATAAAACATTAATTTCGTATTTTTCAATTATTGTATTCGGTAATCAAGAATAAATTTCCAAAATTATTCCTATATATCTTTAATATTCCAAAAATAAATATTTTCATTATAAAATTATATTCTGACCAAGTAATAGATTTCTAGATTCTCAAACATTATATAAGTATTTTAAGAAATTTCTTTTCCAGTAATTCGAAAACTACCAAAATTGAATTTTCCAAAATTACAATTTTAATATTTTAAATCAGAAATTTTATTCCAAAACTTTTATAAATCTTAGAATCATATTTCAAAATTTATAAAATTATATTTTTTGAATTTTAATTATCTAATTCCAATTAATCAATATTAAAGCCGAATTAGACAAATTAAATCCATAAATTAGAGTTTTACTTAATAAAATTTATATCTCCAGAGTTTCTAAAATAATATTTTAACATCCCAACATATTCAAAATAATTTTTCCTTATTTATCTTGTATTTATATTGTAGTTAATCCAATTGACTACAAAAACCAATAATTCAAATAAATAAGTAAAAAAATTTCGAAAAATACTTTTAATTTTCCAGAACAGTTAAAAAAATATATTAATTACTAAGAATTATAAAAATATAAAGTTTATAAGTATGACCAACTTTATTTTCAACTCAATTTATTTGACTGCAGGTGTAAAATTAAAAAATAAAATTTATATATTTAAAAACTACATAAAAAACCTACAAAACAAGAGGTGATAAGACTAAATTATTTTATCAAATAACTAACGAAAATAGATATAGAGAGTGAGTAAAGTTTGACCGTACGAATAGTAAGTAGAAAAAACATTTTAGGATGGAGGAAGTATATAAAAACTTATATATGAATAAAATAGACATTACCTAAGAAAATTAAAATTAAAGAAAAAATAAAAAAAATACTCTACCAACCTGCCCATTGCTCACGGTGGTAACTCACGCACTTAGCCACAATCTAAGAGGGGATGGTATTCATGGACACTCACTCTAGAAGTTGGGGTGAAGCATTACACATAGACCTGGCAAAATAGAACCGGAATCGATTACCCGAACCGAACTATCCGAAACTGAAACTGAAATGATCCGAAAAATGAAGATCCGATCTATAACCGAAAATCCAAAATGATCCAAATCGAACCGAAACCGAACTAAATAATTCATATCCGCTTTAAATTCGAAACCGATTAGATCCGAAACCGATAATATCTGAACCGATTAAACCCGAAACCGATTAGATCCAAAATGGATAATACTCGAAACCGATAAAATCCGAAACCGATTAGATCCAAATCCAATAATATCCAAACTTGATTATAACTAAAACCGATAAATTCGGAACTGAGTTTGTCTTGCCTTTCAATAAGCATATTATATTTTTCAATTTTTATTTTTATTTTACCATTTGAACTAATTACATTACTTGCTCATTCCCTCATAAAATGGATTATCTTCTTGAAAAAAAATTACAAAATCTCATGCCTTAAATTTATTATATTTAGAAATTGAAGATAACTTATACATATAAAATTTTGGATAAATAAAGTGAGCCAACTATTTTATTATTAAAAAAATTAAAGGGAATAAAATATTTGAAAAGATTTTCTAGCGGCAGCATTTAGTGTTATCATTTTCAAATTTGATTTACACCATTACATTTAGGTATAAAATTAATTATATTTGACTCTATTAGATTTAATTTTATCAAATTTCAATCAAATACACTCAAATAATTTATATATTGTGTACTCAATTGAATAAAATTCACTTAATTTCACTCAATTTTTACCAAATTGTATTCAGCTGGAACGTAACACTATTTGAATTTATCTTTTATCTTTTCATTTATAAACATAAATATGTTAAAATATGTTAGTATATGTGAGAAAAATTTGATATATCAAAACTAAATTTTAAAATCAATTTAATTATATTAAACTTATATCATAATTAAATATATATTTTTTCATAATTTGTAGTCTTAATTTGTAAAATATGACTAAAAAATCAAAAAGGAAAGATTATTTAAGCTCGAGATAACATAATTAGAAAAAAATTAAAATAATACTCCGTATGAGGTATTGAAATTATGATAGATTGATAAATGTGATAAAACATAAAAAGATGCATGTATAATAAAATTTTAATTAGAAAAAAAAATATCCAAAATATATTTGATCCAAAACCGAAATATATCCGAACCGAACTAGATCCAAAACCGAAATATATCCGATTCAAATTGTATCCGAACCGAAATCTATCCGAACTGATTTATTACCGAACCGTAGCTGAACCGACTCGAAACCGAACCGAACCAAAAACTGTATAGAACCAAATCAAATCCGAACCGAAATTTAACCGATCCGAACCGAACCGATTATAACATATATCCGAAAGATATCTGAACCGAAAAAATCCATCCCGAAACCAATCCGGTTGACCCGATTGCCACCTCTAATTACACATAGTAATAGGAACTACATTTTTTTAAATCAATGAATGCGTGGCACAAAATTTTATCTTTTTCCTCCAAATAAAACTACCCAAAAAATATTCTTTTTCTCAACGTTTTTCAGAATTTGTTATAATTACTGTACGTAATTACGTTTGGGTGCTGGGGAGAAACAGAGGGTATATTATTGATCATAAGCATCCAAAATTGCATACATCGTAACTTGGCAACTCATATCCATTCACTTTATTCACACCCTAAAGGCCAAAACCTGGATGGAACCTTCACATCACCACATTTCATTTCGCTTTCCAGGTCTCCACAATTATTGGCAATCAACTCCATAAAACCGGAGTACAATTCAAATTGATTGAATGTAAATCTATTAAGAATAAAAGCTAGGGCTACACAAATATGATATGATATACTCCATTTATACAAAACAACATAGACATTATGTATTTGTGGATCACAGGTACATAATATTTGTATTGTATATGTTGCTCTAGTGTTTAAATGGGGACATGGGGTACACCATTTTTGTGTATCACATGCCCCTTCTATTAAAGACATGTTCTTCTGACTTAAAAAAAATTCAAAAAATTGAAAGATATTGGAAAAAACATTAGAAACAATTGGAAATATTTAAAAAAAATTATAAAATTTAAAAAATGTTAGAAAAATCAAAGGTGTTAAAATAGATATTCGAGTATATTTTAAAACTTTCATGTTTTTATCAAAATTAATTATACTTTTTATTTGAATTTCTTTTCTCTATTTATTCTTTTATGTCAAAATATTTTTGTTTCAAAACATATGTATAATGGGTTTTTCTCCCATGCCTTCTTATTTCAAAGGGCATGGATGCCCTTCCATTTAAATAGTGACATGTGGATAAATAATAATGAGAGTTAAATGTGTTCCACAAAGTTTAAATGACAGGCAAAACTCTTTTCAATTATTTAATCCACCATTTATTCTTTTTCCGTTCTTTAACAAATCACTCAAAATATAAAAAAATACTTTTTTTATCTCCAAAATACTACCTCTATCCCAAAATATTTTTCTAGTTTTGTACAATAACAATTTGTCATTGTATATCGGCATTCTACAAGTATTTTTTAATATTATATATTGACATCATTGTCAAAACTTCTATTTCAGAAATAAAATATGGATATCCAATTTTGGTATTTTCTCTATGTTTTAATCATAATTTAGTCTCTATTAATACTTCAAAAATATAATGTGGCCATCTCAATCAAGATTTAATTATATTTAGTTACTACCTTCGTCTATAAGTGTTTGTATAGTTTTAACTTTT